GAAGAAATCAAATACAGAAACCAAAGAGTTTAAGATAAAAAAGTAATTGTTTTAGTCTCATTAAATTTGTAAATCTATTTTTGCAAAGAGTAACTATAACTGGATATTTCTCCTGCCGCTATCAGTAGTCACATGTGCAATGTTTCATCATTAAAGCCTGCAAAAGATCAATCTCACCTTAAAAACAGTTTTCAAACTAGAAAAGAGTAACTTTGCTCAGCTGTTTATAGACAGGATACAGCAGAAATAAGAGAATCTTTACTCTGCAAGGATACCAACCTAGATAGGTTTTCACTGAGAGATCAACATTACAGACAATTGTTTAGTACAGAAAATTCCCTTGTTACCTGTCATCCGACTCAGGGGTTCCATGAGAGACAGCCCAGCTCTGTCCACAGCGATGACACCATTCTCTTTCAGATACTGCTTCAAGGATGGATGGATAACTTTCTGGCACACTACAAGGCCAACCTCATCATTAACCAGCTGCTTTCCTACATTAAGCAACTGATTCAGCTCTGACATTTCTAGAGAAATTCCATGATGGACAGTTATAGTTCCTTCTTTAGGGTTGAAGCTGTCTCCTGACATGGATACACAGAAAAGTGCTATCTTGATCATGTTTGAACAAGTTCTTTTGACAGTAAGTGGTTTTGCCAATTGAATTTCTGGCGTTTCTATCAGCAGCCCAGGAAGAACTGCAGAATCCATAACTCTTCTCCCTTTCATAGGTACTATTATACACTTTCCTAAAACAGCATTACTCTCAGCATGACATGGAACAGTAAACAGAAAAGCCTTTAAAATCAGTGTGGTGAGATGATCAACCTCTGTTTTATTTAGCATGCAAGCAGGTTTGCTTCTTAATACGCTACGTACTAAACAAAGAAGAGTCTCAACACTGCTAAAATCCACAGCCACTCTGCAACCACAGGCCTCAGATTTGAGATAGTCCATACACAGACTCAAAAGATGCTTGCTTATTTTAATGACAGTGCAAGGTGCAATGTTTAGGCTTTTAAAGTTTTCAATCAAACTACAGCAGAGAATGGCAGTAAATAACCCACAGTCACTGAAGCGGGATATATGGTTCTGTACAGAGGCCATCAAAACACCTAACACAGGATGACTGACAGAAAGACGACTGAGTATAGCTGAAGATTGTGAAGTTGTACAAACATAGCCTCCCACACCATTGTGGAGCTGTTTGAGCCGACCAGCAGGACCATAGCAAGATTTTAATATTCCACTCAGCAGGGACAGTGACTGACTAACTCCATCTTTAGTTAAAGGGTCAGTAATAAATAACGAAGGCTTTTTAGCTTCAAGACGAGACATTTTCAAAGTAAGACTTTAATTCTAGCCAACAAAACAGATTTCATTTCTCCTCGGATCTATAATTCATAGCACTTTTAAAATTTAAAGTAGAACATTTGAATTATTTGCAACTAAGGATCATTTTAAAGGTGACAGTGCATACAGTACAATAACAACATTCCCTGTGACTACTCAGGATCTAGCTCTTAAAACGAGGTTTAAAATCCTATTGTGAAATTGATACACAACAACAGCAGCAAAGTATTTCATTCATGATGATCTTTTTTAGCTTCTGAATGTGAGTGAGCAGATTTTTTTGCAACAAAGTTTACGAGCATGCTTCCAAAATGGACACCTATAACTGACAGTCCCACCACAAGCAGAAAGTTCTTTCTATTCCAGTTAGCTTTCCTCATCTCTTCTTCTGGCAAAACACAGATGAAAAGCTTCAGAGCTAGTCATACCTACAGTAAAGCAGAAAAAGGTATTAGGATAATCTTATGACAATACTGCATAACTTGAACTGCTATTTTAACAAAAAAACTCAAGTAAGGACAATCAAAGAATCATTTAGGTTGGAAAAAACCTTTAAGATCATCAAGTCCAACTGTTAACCCAGCACTACCAAGTTCACCTCTAAACCATGCCCCAAAGACCTCACCTACACATCTTTTAAATACTCCAGGGATGGTGACTCCACCACTTCCCTGGGCAGCTTATTCCAATGCTTGACCAACCTTTGGGGGAAGAAATTTTTCTTAATATCCAATATAAACCTCCCCTGGAGCAGCTTGTGGCCATTTCCTCTTCTTCTATCACTTACTACTTGGGAAAAGAGACCAATCCTTACCTTGCTACAACCTCCTTTCAAGGCAGCTGAAGAGACCAAGGAGGCCTCCCCTAAACTTCCTTTTACAAGGCTAAACAGCCCCAGTTCCTTCAGGCGTTCGTCACCATACTTGTGCTCTGGACCCTTTATCAGCTTTGCTGCCCTCCTCTGGACCTGCTCCAGCACTTCAGTATCTCTCTTGTGCTGGGCCCAGAACCGAACACAGGGTTCGAGATGCGGCCTCACCAGTCCCCAGCACAGGGGGATGATCACTGCCCTGGCCCTGCTGCCACACTGGTGCTGACACAGGGCAGGATGCTGCTGGCCTTCTTGGCTGCCTGGGGAAAGTGCTGTCAACCAGCACTCCCAGGTCCTTTTCTGCTGAGCAGCTTTCCAGCCATTCTTCCCCAAGCCCATAGCATTGCATGGAGTTGTTGTGACCCAAGTGCAGAACCCAGTTCCGAGCCTTGAATCTCATACAATTACCTATATATGATATAATGCTTTTTAATGAAAAAATCCTGTACAATATATATTGCAAAGCATACAGTACACTAATGTTACACATCTTTTAATGACTTCAATACTGACTACCAGTTTCTACACTGTTTTACCTGTGGGTCTATAAGTAACAGGCCACTATAAACCACACTGAATTGTATGAAAGCATCAAAACTATAGTGACATTAACCTGGTTATACGCAAGAACAAAAGAACTGAACTAAGCAGCACTGCTTCACAGGCAACCACTTCAGAAACAAAAAGCTTTTAATGTTCAAACTCAAAATCCCTGCCTCTAAAGGTCAGTTTCTTACTTCAAAATACGTAACAAACAATATTGTTTTCCAGATTTTAAACACTTCAAAACTTAAAGGGATATTCATTTATGTTTCTATGTAACAGCTACAGTATTCAGGCTTCTCTTATATTTAGTTTTATTTTCTATTGTAATTACCATCCCCATTAACGACATAGAATATGTTACTGTGTCACAACTATCTCTGGGCAGTTTTGAACCTGAAAGGATACTGCTGCCTTAGAGTTTGTTTTGAAATATCTTTAAGACCTAAAACATCACTTAATTTATCCTATCACATGGGATTTAGTGGTCGTTTTTAACATATATGATGCATTTTTGGGGTCCATGCAACTCCCAGATTAACTCTGTTGCAAAAAAAAAAAAAAAAAAAAAGCATGAAATTATGGAAGACTAAAGTTGGAGCAGCAACACTGTATCTGTTAGAAAATCCTCATTTAATCGACTCATTTCCTGCCTCAAAGATACACACACAACTAATTCGGTAACTTACCCACAGTACATAGCTCTAATGCTACTTCTCTTTATTTTTGCGATCGTTTTGCAACACGTATGCCACAATCCCAGGTTCTGGAACAACCTCCACTGTCTTCACTTGGAAAAGAGGGCTGGACTTGATCTGAAACCAGCCCCAGTGCACCAGCCCAAGGCCAACTCCCATAACAATCAGAACTTTGTAGTCCTTCCAGATGGTTTTAAGACCCATTTCAAACTGGCATCTACCTAGGTAAAGATAATTTATTATTTTAAATATATTCTAGAAATCCTTCTTTTACTCTATAATAACAGCACAGATGAACCTGAACCTTAATATCGTTAATTACAGTGCAGCAGATGATTAAAACATAAGACACAAGAAAGTCTTACTTTGTGAACTTTAAAAAGTAAAAAAAAAAAACCCATGAAAAGAACATAAATTCAGATATCTTGAAGTGTTAAATTGCTGCATTTGCTTCAAGCTTTGGCATGCTAAATCGTAAATGTAACAAAGCTTCATCTAATTACAAATGTTACTGCTTCAGATAGCAAACATTCTAATTAAGGTGTTACTGCCTCGGATGGTAAAGATATGAGGTCTAAACCAAAGCAGTTTCAAAATACTTTCCTTCCCATAGTTAGTAACATTCAGTGAATGTGCTCCTAACAGAATATGGGACTTCTAACTTGCAGGCCAAAGCTGCACTGCTTCCCACATCATTTTGGGATGCCTGGAGTAGCAGTTACACCCTACTACCTTAACTCTTAGTCTTCAGAAGTGCAACAGTACCACTACAAACACAGTAAATCCACCCTTAAATAAAAGGGATGCATAAAACTCTAATTCCCACAGAATTTTTTTAGGAAGTACCTACAACAGGGAAAAAAAGGCATACATACTCAGGTTTTATATCGAAATAACGCCTTTAAATAGCTATACAATGTTCCTACACCCGCCCACCTTCATCCACCGGCAGGAGTACCGTGTCCTACCCCTCCACCATGCCGTGGGGATGTCACAGCTCGGCACCACTTGCCACACAAGGCAAAAGAGACTCCAAAGTCACGGAGCCGGCCGGTACGCGTAGGGCAGCCGCGCTCCGGCTGAAAGCTGCTGAGGAGACGCTGAGGCGAGGCAGTGCGGCCCGGCCTAGGCAGCCCGTCCTGTGACAGACGGTAGGAACTCCACAGTCCCCAGCCCACCGTCCCCCGCGTCCCAACGACCTTGCAGCGCAGGCGCCTGACAGGCCCTGAGCCGGCTGAGGCGGACCGCGGTGAGCGAAGGGACGGTAGAGTCTCTCACACAGCAAGGGGCTGCGGGTGATGAAGGGGCTGCCCGGCCGCAATCCTGGAGCTCACCTCAGCTCTGGCCCCAAGGAAGAGAGGGAAGGACCCAACTTCCCGACCGCCAACACCTCAGCGGGCCGGGAACAGGGACCGCCCCTCCCCCCCGTGTTCAAACCTCCCAACAGCCGGAAGCGGCGCGGCGCAACCCGGAAACGAGGCTCTCGCCCGCCATTGGCCGAGCCGTGCGCTACGTGCCCACGCTCTCCCGGGAAGACCTCAGCCTCCCGTGTGCGGCTGCGCCGGCGGCCATTTTGCGTTCGGGCAGGGTAGGGCGGGCGGTGGCTACAGCCGGCGGCCATTTTGGATGAGGTCGTGCGTGAGGGCAGCGGAGCCGTTAGAAATCGGTGGAACAGGTATGGCGGGATTGCGGCTCCAGCGCTGGCATTGGCCGGCTCAGACCCTCAGTTGGGGGGCTCCAGGGGGAGCGGCCGTGCCTGTATCTTCAGTCTTTCCTCCGTGTGTGAGGGAATGGTTTGCGGGAGCTGCTGCTGTGGTGGCGGTTCTTGAGGCGCCGCCCCTCCCGCCAGCACCCCCTCCCGGCCCGGTGAGGAGCGAGCTCGAAAGCACTGTCTACGCGTGAAACTCATGCAATTATGGAACTACAGGGTTGGAAGATGGTAAGGGGGCTGGAGCACCTCCCATACGAAGAGAGGCTGAGAAAATTGGGTCTGTTTAGTCTCGATAAGAGAAGCTGCGTGGAGACCTTAGAGCAGTTTTCAGTGTCTGAAGGGAACCTACAAGGATTCCGGAGAGCACTCTTTATCAGGGATTGCAGTGATAGGACAAGTGGTGATGGGTTTAAACTTAAACGGGGAAGTTCAGTTTAGATACAAGGAAGAAGTTCTTTACTGTGAGGGTGGTGAGGCACTGGAACAGGCTGACCAGAGAAGTGGTGAATGCTCCATCCCTGCTGCAGTGACCAAAACAAATTCAGGAAAACTTACCTGGCTTCATTTTTTTCTTTTAGGTGTTTTCTTCTATATCTTTTCTGTATTAAGTCTTCTTCTCTATCCCCCCTATTCCTGCAATCGCTGTCAAGAATATCATGTCTTATATCCACATGTTAATGGATGGTTTGGTTTTAATTTTGTGTGTAGTTGCAAAGCTTGCAGCGGTAGTCAAAAGGCAAGTTTTTACTATCCAGTTTCCACACAGAAATTAACATTTTTAACATTTTACGGAACAGCTGAATGCAGTGTTAATTGAGCTGTTCTATGAAATTTACGAGGAAAAATAAATGCATTCAGCAGTGCAAAAAGATAATAGCCTGTAATAAGCACTCTGGTGTTTCCCCCGAATCTCTCATTCCTCTAGTTCTATGTAGTTGTGTGGTGAATGGGTAACGTTTTTGAAAGCGAGTTGTTGAAAGGTGAATTGGCGGTTCATGAATGAAGGGATGTGGACAACAATGAGGTAGAAATATACTAACTGTTTGGAAGAACAGTTTCCAAAGGTTGAGTGAAAGAATTGGAAACAGTGGGCCTAAAATTTCTGAAACTGCAGAATTGGAAGATTTTGATACGTCTCTTTATGATCTGTGTAAGTAGCTGAGTTACTTATCCCACACTGCTTATCCCAAGCTTTGGATCGGCTGTCAGAAACTGAGGAGTGTTGGGTCTGGGCTGGACAGTGTTTGACTCCAATACCCAAGGACTGAAAAGTTCTGAAAATTCTCCTTTATGTTGTGATAACTAATTTTGAAATACAAAAATACTTAATACTAACTTATTTTACAGAGTTCCTTAAAATTGACATTTGTGTTATTGTCTCTGCCTTTTTCAGCTGCCCACTTCACCCCACATGTGGTAACGACACCCAAATATATGCAGTGTGTGAACAGTTTGCTGCTGCTGTGTTAGTAGCAGTTTTCAGTTCCTCATTCCCACTGTGTTCCAAATTCCCTCACCACAGGAAGCTACTTCTTAGCTAAGGTAAGATGCTGTTCATCAGCTGGCAAAAAACACTTCAGCTCACTTTCTGGGAGGCCATGTTCCACTTCATGTCAAATTTAGGGAAGAAAGATATTTTGCCAAATTACTTACAAAGCACATCTCGCTCTAGCTGCAGGAAACCTATGTGTTTTAATTGTAGACCATGTTTTCTTGTATGGGCTCTATCAAAAATTTAGATGTTGAAATATTGCAAATACCATGTCAAGATTTTTATTTTTATTTTATATAGAAATACATAGAGTTTCTGTGAGGAGTTCTTCTGCCTTATTTGCTTCTTTTCATATTTCCTTATGTACAGTTTCCTTTAGATGTTTGCAACAGATATAGTATTCGATGAAACTGAGTCTTGTTATCAAATAGTAGCTATTGTAAGAGTTGTATTTCTTGTGGGTTTTGTTGTTTTTTCACCAGAGGAAATGGCAAAGTATTTTGGGTCTTGCTTTTTTCTCCTTGCACAATTAAAGGGAGGTTTTCCTACTTTTTTTATGTCTTAATATTGGGTACTTTTCCATTTCTGAGAGTTCAGTGACTTTCCTGGTGGTTCACACATTACGTGTATTCTTCTTGTTTATCTAAGGATTTGCTTACATTCATTCTGTCTGCTGCATTTCCTTTGTCTTATCTTTATGGTCAATCCAAAGAATAGGGCAGTTGGCAAGTTCCCAAAGTCACTTTACTCCCATGAAAAACAAATTAAACCCAAGGTAACTTCTCATATGTGTATTTTTCCCTTTTTTTCTTTTGTAAGTTGGATTTGGGCAGATTTCTGCCTGCCAACAGTACTTCTCATATCAATAGTAGCAGACTTGTAACAGTAGTATTCTGGTTGGTGAATTGTTATGAAAAAGATATTGGTGATGCCAGGATAAGTTAAGCTTATTCATCCGTGTGCTTTGTTCTCAAGCTGGACATGAGCGTTTGGAGAAGAGGTGATACTCTGGGATGTTTTGTTGCCACTCTCTTTACTATTGCTACTGTAAGGATTAATGATAAAACATTAGCAGTCTAAATATTGCTCTCAGATCCTGGGCCTGCAGCACCATAGTGAATTGTATGCCATATACAGCTCAAAAATTGCATACGATCTAGGTAAATTGTTTTCCTGGAAGCATGAGGCAAAGTACTTTGTGTTCTAACATATCCCAAGGTACGGGTAATTCTGTGAAAGTGGTAGGTTTATTCAATGTTGTCATTGCTGTCATAGGAGCTCTTAGTTGATGATGTGCTCCACAGCAGCTGTGTTTCTAATTACAGGTTTCCTAACTTCAGGCTATATTTCTAGCTGCTGGGAGAAGAGACTAGAGCATTTAACAGTCTCCTGCTTTTTGATGTTTCTTGCCACTGTTTTTTCTATTTTTTATTACTTCTTTTTCTTTTTTGTTGGGAGGAGGAGGTAGGGATAATTAGTAAAGTTTTAGATACAGCCTTTTATTAAAATTAAAAAGCTAATACAGAAATCCCTGAAATGCTGCCAAGACCTTTTGTTTTCAGATTCTGGTGAGTTGCACATGTCCAGGTCTTGTAGTGTTTCTAAAGGGCTGTGATAGATCTTGCAATTTGCTTTTTGCATGATGAGGTGGTTAGTCCATCCTTGGAGTTCTTGAACACTAGAAATACATAGAATCATAGAATAGTTTGGGTTGGAAAGGACCTTAAGATCATCCAGTTCCAACCCCCCTGCCATGGGCAGGGACACCTCACACTAAACCATGTCACTTAAGCCTCTGTCCAGCCTGGCCTTGAGCACCTCCAGGGATAGAGCATTCACAGCTTCCCTGGGCAACCCATTCCAGTACCTCACCACCATAACAGTAAAGAATTTCTTCCTTATATCCAATCTAAACTTCCTCTAAGTTTTAACCAGTTACCCCTTGTCCTGTCACTACAGTCTCTAATAAAGAGTTCCTCCCCACCATCCCTAGAGGCCCCTTCAAGACACTGGAAGGCTGCTATGTTTCCACGCACCCTTCTCTTCTCAAGGCTGAACAGCCCCAGCTTTCTCAGCCTGTCTTCATACAGGAGGTGCTCCAGTCCCCTGATCCTTCTCGTGACCTCCTCTGGACTTGTTCCAACAGATCCATGTCCTTTTTATGTTGAGGGCACTAGAACTGCACACAATACTCCAAGTGAGGTCTCACCAGAGCAGAATAAAGGGGCAGGATCACCTCCTTCAAACTGCTGGTAACGCTCCTTTTGATGCAGCCCAGGATAGGGTTGGCTTTCTGGGCTGTGAGCGCACACTGAAGCCGGCTCATGCTCATTTTCTCATCGACCAGCACCCCCAAGTCCTTCTTTGCAGGGCTGCTCTGAATCTCTTCTCAGCCAGTAGCTGTGCCTGGTATTGCTCTTACCCCAGGTATAGGACCTTGCACTTGGCATGGTTCAGACTTCATGAGGTTGGCATCAGCCCACCTCACAAGCATGTCAAGGTCCCTCTGGATGGCATTCCTTCCCTCCAGGGTATCAACCAAACCACACAGCTTGGTGTCATCGGCAAACTTGCTGAAGGCGCACTCAATTCCACTGTCCATGTCAGCGACAAAGGTGTTGAACAAGACCGGTCCCAGCACCATTCCCTGAGGACACCACTTGTTACTGGTCTCCAGCTGGACATCGAGCCATTGACAACAACTCTGTGCTTGCAGTCATCCATCCAGTTCTTTATCCACGGAGTGGTCCATCCGTCAAATTGATGTCTCTCCAATTTAGAGACAAGGATGTTGTGTGGGACAGTGTTGAATGCCCTGCACAAGTCCAGGTAGATGACATCAACTGCTCTACCGCTGTCCATCAGTTCTGCAGCCCCATCATAGAAGGCCACCAAATTGGTCAGGCAGGATTTCCCCTTGGTGAAGCCATGCTGGCTGTCACCAAGCACCTTGTTGTTTTTCATGTGCCTTCCAGGAGAATCTGCTCCAAGATTTTGCCAGGCACGGAGGTGAGACTGACTGGTCTGTAATTCCCTGGGTCATCCACTTTCCCCTTTTTGAAAATGGGGGTTATATTTCCCTTTTTCCAGTCATCGGGAACTTCACCTGACTGCCACAGTTTTTCAGTTATGATGGCCTGTGGCTTAGCAACTTCACTTGCCAGCTCCTTCAGGACCCATGGATGGATTTTGTCAGGTCCCATGGACTTGTGTATGTTCAGATTCTTAAGATGGTCTTGAATCAGATCTTCTCCTACAGTGGGCCTAAGGTCTTCTTTCTCACAGTTCCTGCATCTGCCTTCCAAGACTTGGGTCGTGTGGTCAGAGCATTAAACAGTGTACATCTTGTACATTGTTATAAGGAAGTCAGAACCGCACTTGATTTTCACCTGATGGCTGTCATATCCCTTTAACATCACTTCTGACTTAATTCTAGGATCTGCTGTTTCAAGAATTTCTGAGTTTTATCTCCTACTAAGATTCCTCTTACAGTGACTGTAGGGGTGCTTCTATAGATAAGCACCTTAGTACCTGATGGAATTGAAATGCGGTGTCCCAAGCGGTCCAGAACACTCTTCCTTACATTGTGTATCTTGAAATTACTGTTGGTAATGTTGACAGAATTTACTCTGAGATAGAGAAGTTTCCAGGGCTGTTTTGTGCAAGGGAGAATGGTAGTTGTATGGCACAAGGCATGGTATGCCAGCTCTCTCTGTGTGACTTCTATTTGAAAATCAGTTCTCTCCCTCTAACTTTCTGCTTACTGTTAACTGTGCAACTGATAAAAGCTCTAACTTTGAACTTTTTCAGAACATAGTTGAAACATTTTATTAACTGCATTAAACTTTATTTTCAGTAGTTACTTGCAGAATGGTTTTTATGTCAGACTCATTTTAACCTGGTTACAGTTACAACCAGTTTGCTTCTCACCCTTCACGATCCTTTTACTGTTTCTTACTGCTTGGATATTGGTACGATATAAAAAAAAAAATAAAATCACTGAAGTAGTTGGAAGTTTTCCTTGACCCAGTATATAGAATTGAGCCCTTGGTAGTTTCATGTTTTCTTACAGTTCTTTTGAAATCAGGGGTCTCAGTGTTTGGATATTTGGAAGGGAAGGACTGCACAGAAGTGTTTGTTTCTTTAGTTCAGAACGATTACTGTTGAATCTTAATATCAGAATTAAGCTGTGTAGTTGTAAAGTGGATCTTTATCTTGTTTTGCACTTTTTAAAAGTTTAAGTGTAGTGCCTGACAGAGACGCGTATCACCAGCCTGACTTGTAGCATGAAAGTCTGACAGCTCTATCTCAGTACTTCACAATAAGTTGTAGTACGCAGTGAGGAACTGTGTGTCTTTGTGCATTCTTAATATTTTCCTATGTCATCTGTTACAAAACTCACAAGGTTTGTATATCTTACCATGAGATTAATCCCTTAGGAAAAGGAAACTTTGGAGCGTGAAAGGCAGCTCTGAGTGTAGTTTCTGTTGCATGTTACCTGTTGCAGGCAGCAGCTACTGACACTTACTTTGTTTCTTGATTTTGAAGCTTGAGCTGTGATGTTTGGGTGGGTACATGTGCCAATATACTGAGACCCTTGCTCACCTGGTTTTCTGTTGAAGCCAAGGCTCTTCCTTGCCTGTTGCCACTGTTGCTATCTTGTGTGAAAATAAAATGTTACCGTCTTTTTTTTTTTAATTCCTGGGGTTTTGTAGGTATAATTTGGTACCATAGGGCCAATTCCATGTCTCTCTGAATCCCAGCCTTGTGCGGTTAGCAGGAAGGACTTTCATCAATTTAACCTAATTTTCTACCTTTTGACAAGTTAATCTTTAGCTACCATTTCTGTGGTAGTTAAGCCCAGCTGTTTCAGTGCTGTGACCAGAACTGGTGTCAGTTTGTGGGAAGAGAGGGGGAATAAAAAAGCTGCTAAAAACCTGTGATCTGGGTGGAGTCTTTCCTCTAGTACTGATCACTTTTAATTGGTGTTTTTACAGGACCAGTTTACACTGACCTGTCATGGCATCCAACAAGTTTGTCATTAAGGTAAAATGCATGTCATAGCTTTTATTACAAGAAAATCTGTTACACTGCTTAGAATGTGTGTATGTTTTAAAAGTTTATGATTAAGGGAAGCATCCTTCAGGCTTTGGCCATAGCATACTTTGTATCAGCTTTTCTCTGGTATTGGAAGCAAACTTTGTGAATTGCTGCTGTATTGTGGAAGAGTGCATCTGAAGTCAGCTGAAGATTAAAATCATGTTACTAAAATTGATCACTTGTGTAGTTTGAATTAGAAACTGCATGAATTTTTAGTAAAACACTATTTGCTACCTGAAATAAAATTTAGGATTGATTCTTCTCTTGCTGTAATCTCACAGTGTTATTTGTGTATGTCCCAGATAATCTAAGAGTTCTTGGTCTAAGGCACAGTAATGTTCTTCAACTGTTTATCACACTCAACTCTTTATTTGCATCTTTTTTGCCTCTTAGCCAGTTTTCAGGCAGTAGCTGTCTTGCATCCAGTAAAATTACATATAGTAAAATGACATTGCAATTTATTTTGCAAACAGCCTCTGACTTTTGGATATGTATTTGAAGAGCAATGCTTTTCAAAACACTCTGTAATGAACATAGCACTTCATAAATCTTCTAGCGTAACTATATCAGCTTACCAATAAACAAAACTAATTGTTCAGTAAAAATCGTGAACTTTCTCTTTAGGACCTTTTCTTTTGTTTCTGTGTTCTTGTATGTCTAGGGTAGTTTAGGTAATGCATATGTTTCAAAGTGATTAGCACACTACTATTCTCTCGAAAATGTGGTTTGTTTGTTTTTTTTTTTTTACAAGGGTTTTTTTTAACAGAATAGACTTTTTCCTCTGTGGAAGAAATTGGGGTTTTTGGAGGATGGCTACAAAACCCATCCTGACTGATCAGCTGTTGAAATTTGGTTTTGTGGGTAACCAACCTGTTCAGCAAGCAGACCAAGCAATTTTTGTGTGCTGTGTTCTTTTCCAAGTAAAACTGCTGCCATTTAGTGGGACAAGTGCTTTAATTTTTTTTTACACATGAGCATGATTGTCAACCTTAAATTGACAGTATCATGTCTGTACTATTCAGTGCTTCTGAATTGATAAAGGAGTTAGGAGAAACGCTGTTGATCTTGAGCATATTTTAGCAGATATCCTGAGTCTGTATGCCACTGATGTAGTCACAACAGGAGTTGAGGCTGAAGGTGTTGTTTTTTTTTCAGCTGAGAACTCATGATATCATAAATATTAATGTAAGTGCCCAAGAAAACAAGTGGTGTGAGTTTGAAGTATCTTCACTAGATAAAAAGCCTGAAGACACTTGGTTAATGACTTGCATAAATGAACCAGCTTGCTGGTTCAGCATAAACACTTGACTGGCATTCAGCATGTTCCCTGGCAATCACCAAGTAGTTTAACATCACTCACTGAGCAAATGGATAGGTTCTCACTGAGTATGCATTCGTAGGGAAGCAGTATTGCAGATGAACTTTTGAGAGTGCTAATGCGATAGAACTTTATTTGCTTTCTGGTAGGATTTAAGAAATGAGAGTAAGGTTTTGCATGTACTGCATGCTGAAAATTAGTTTTGCCTTGACTAAAACATATCAAATATGTAAATATGTGAAAAGCTGGTTGGAATTCACTTTGTGCATAGGTGTGTAGCATTTTGCGTGTTAGATCAGGGATTTTGTATGTTGCTTCTTCACATTCACTGGATTTGTGTTTAATGTGAATATTTCCTTTTTCAAGACTGTTCAATGTTCTCATACATTTTTCAAGGAAGATCCCTTTTCAGAAGCTTCTTCATTAAAAGGCAGAAAATAATTTCATCCCTCTGCAGGGGAAATATAGAAACCTTGTTAATTTAAGGTTCCTTGTGTTTGAAATTGCTAGGGGTATTTTACTGAGTTTGAAAAGGTTTAATTCATGCCTTGTATTTTACATTCTCTACTTTTAAGCTTTTAGATTTTGTAAGCATCTCTTGTGTTAATCTGTTTAGTAAGGAAGCAAAAAGTGAAGTTTATGGGTCTTTCAAGCCTTAACTGACGGGAACGTCAATGAGAGGGAAACGCCTATCGTGTTTGATGGCTTTGCCGCTTCAGAATGTTCAGAATGTGCCTCCGGTGTAATGGTCAGTTATTGTCAGTAGAGGGAGTAGTTGGCCTATTTTTGAAACGCGAGCCTAAGCGTGGTTTTATGGGCAATTAAGAGCTATTGAAATAAAATAATTGATGCAGTAAAATAGCTTTAAACCTTAATATGAAAACTGTAGTTAGGTCCTAAGCACACTTGCTTCACTTGCCAACTGGCTGGATGCCATAGTGTTGTGATACGCAATAGATAATATTTGATGCAAGTAAATTTGATCAGCAGTTTTCATTTTTGGGGGTATTGATACTTCATAAAGTTCTGGATGGTGAAATACCCCCGAATCTGGAAAATAAAGACATATGAATTTAATTAAGCTTTCTGTGTGTGTTGCTAAAATATTTTATTGCTGTTCTGAGAAATAAATCTTAACTTTAATTGGTGAGGCTTAAAGCAAAATCATGAGGTCTATATGGATTTGAAAAATAATATCGCTAGGGTCTTGTTTAAAACTTTGGACAAACTAGAAAGGATTGCTTTTCCAGAATTGTGTAAATTGACTTTATTCATGCCAAGTTGCAGAACTAAATATAGTATTTTTTATGGCTGTAATAGAAAAACTTCATTTACTGTTTTCTGCAGTTCTTTCATTTGCCAGATACTGAAGACTTTTAAGTTGTTACTGCGTTTCAATAGCTCCATGAAAAGGCAAGATTTTTTTTACTTTGCAGTTTTCTACTTTGAGAAATTAAGAGCTCTGTTCTGTCTCAGATTTGTAAGCATTTGCTAGCACATATCTTAGATTAAGATAATGTCAATGTTCCCTTTGTCATCTAGCACACTCTGCAATCTATTTGTCAGCAGTGTTGTTCCTTATCAGTTTAAATTATTGCATGCTGGAAGTGAATATGAAACATTTTGGTCCTTCCTACTTCAGACTTTCTGCTTTAAATTGAAAGTTCCTCTGAAGCAGCAAGCGTGTTTTTCTGTTTTATATTGGGAATTAAGTTGGAAGTACTGGAAATGATCGAACACAAAGATGACAGTATGGCTGTAACGTGGCCAGTTTTCCCCTTCATTTTCCTTGTGTTTGTATCTTTGATGTTTTTTTTATGTTGATGCATCTTAATGTAATCGTTAAGATACTGATTTATAACCAAGACATCTTAATATCTATCTTTACGTATCTTAGAATGCTTCATGCAAGAAAGTGCATAAAAAGAATGTTGATTATAGGCCCTAACAGTAGGTAGAAGGAAATGGAAAGATCATCTTCCTGTCACCCAGTATGCTAATGTGTACTTACAGTGCTCTATAGGTAATTTTAGTCTCTGTTCACAGATATGTAGAAGGTGTTACTGTCTTCTCTGTGGAGCAAGAAAATGAGCAGTTTATTTTGAAGGGGCCTTTTTTGCTATTTCCATGCATGTTTAATCATGTTAATGGATTTCTAATGCTAAAGCTTCACCATTTCTCTGGCTTTTCCATGCTTTCTTTTTTTTAGTTACTAGTTATAATGTAATATACCAATAGTATGTCAGAAATGATTTCTGTATCAGATAGGTCTGTTTGGATGGTGCTTACATGAATCTAAGTGGGTTAGACAGATTAAAGTTCACACTTCTGTGAAGTACGTGCACTGAATTAGCTGGTCAGTATTTGTGTTGATGTTTTGCCGTGTGAGAAGGTGGTGTGCTTATGCTTGCAAGTTGCTTGGAGAGAAGAAAAGCCTAGGGAGATGAGTAGGTTTTCTTGCCTATATTTTTTTATTTTCTTTGATCCCTTATGATGAGTAGTGGAATATAGTAAATGCATTTTACTGCTAAATGAAGTCCACAGGTACATGAAAGCAGTGCTTCCACTATTGATATTTATCCCTCTGACTTTCAACTCATTTCTCCTTCTGCTAGCACTTTAATCTCTCAACTCTTTATCCACTTATCATTTCCCTAGGATTGAAAATTAAGGAATATTGATTAAAATTACTTTTTCCTATGTTGTGTCTGCTCAGAGTTACTAGATTGATACTACAGATGCTTTTCTTACATACATAGCTTTGAACTCTCTAGCCTGAGAGTTAGATTTTTCTAGAGATTGCTTAAAATACCTAATAAATACAATATTTTCTGATGTCCCTTTCTTTTCCCTATTGAAAAACTGAGGTATTTGTATGTGAAATGGAGCAACCTGGTCTAGTGGAAGGTATCCATGCCCATGGCAGGGGGGTTGGAACTAGATGAGTTTTAAGGTCCCTTCCAACCCAAACCGTTCTGTGAAATTCCTGTAGTTGGAATATTCACAAATGTTTCAGTAGAAATGTGCTAATATTAGATGTTGCGCAATTAGGTAGAATTTGTACAAGTATCTAAAGTCTTAAAAGTAAGATACTGGTGTTCTCTAAGCTGATTAAAGGTTATTGAATTTTATGTGAACTGTGTATTTTTATATTTGCTTTTTTGGTCTTTGAAAGTGAAGAAATAGCTATATTAACCATTAAATAGTTATTTTCTGGAGATAGAGTTCTCCTAGACTGACATTGGTTAGAATAGCCAGGTTGGACGAGGCCTTGGGTTATATGGTTTAGAGCGAAGTGTCCCTGCCCATGGCAGGGGGGTTGGAACTTGATGATCTTAAGGTCCTTTCCAACCCTAACTAGTCTATGATTCTATGATTCTATAAATACAGGTGGTTGGAACTGTTATTACCAAATAGCATCATACGCTTCACTCAGCTGTGATGTTCATTCCTATTTGAATTATGATACTTCTCTGAAAGGGCTTAGAAGTTTTAAGGAGAAGATAAAAAGAGACTGTGGGGCAGGGGGAATATGATTTAAAATAGGAAGCAGAAAACAGTAATAATGGATGAAGGGACACCTATTTAGTTCTGTTTCTTAACTCTGCATTTAATTCCCAATTTCATG